AGTATATTATTGGAGGCTTCAGCTGGGCTTGATTAATAGGGGGGGGTTGGTTAATCCCATGTGCGCAGTAGTGATGTGTTTTCAGGTGTGCACACTATAGACCTCAGGTTTGACCTCTGTAAGAGTTGAAGAAAGGACAAACCAATACAAAACCATGCAAAACATCAAGCACTTAGAATCACTAGAACCCCCTTTTTGAGCCGGGGCCTTTGTAGACCATGGCTGATTTGTATGGCGCACGACCGGTCGGGGGGGAGCCACCGGTTTTGGCCGTGAATGGATCAAACGAATCTTCACCCAAAGCACGGAGATCGTTTGACCGTGCGTTCAACGCCAAACAAAGCAAGGAGGGGATACCTATCAAAAAGAAAATTGATTCCTATCATATCAATAAAAACGTGTTTCCTATCAAAAAACATAAAGTCGTATCAAACAGAAAATTACCTCTACTCCTTTGGTCCTGGCCTGCTGGTTCCCTGATCGCTTGGTCCTTTGCTCCCTTTGTCCTGGTCCCTTGGTCCTCTGGTCCCTTGGTCCTCTGGTCCCTTGGTCCTCTGGTCCCCTGGTCCCTTGGTCCTCTGGTCCCTTGGTCCTCTGGTCCCTTGGTCCTCTGGTCCTTCGTCCTGGTCTTCGGGTCCTTGGGTCTGCACTTTCGAGGCAAGACGAGTTCAAGGTGATTTGGAAATCTGGTCATACATCCTGTGAAGCACTGTAGCAGACCTCTTATCACCAGACGTAGCAGACCTTTTTTGTGAGCCACCCTGACGGTAAAATTTGAACGAAGAAGGTGCCATTCCAAGGTAGCAAACCTTTTGTCAGCCACTGGAGGACAAAATTTAGAAGAAGAAGGAGCCATTCCAACGTAGCAAGCCTTTGTTTTGTGAGCAACCGCGCCTGCCACGCAATCTGCACTTCGAGGTTCAAGTGCTATGCCTGCAATGAAATCTGCAGTTCCAGTGCACAAAGTGCTGCGCCTGCCACGAGCCCTGCAACCGAAGGTGCTCAAAGTGCTGCGCCTGCCACGAAATCTGCAGTTCCAGTGCGCCAAGTGCCGCTCCTGCCACGAAATCTGCTACCGAAGGCGCTCAAAGTGCTGCGCCTGCCACGAAATCTGCACATCCAGATTCACATCGCGCAGCGCTGCCAAGGCGGTTCGCAGTGGCAGGCGCAGCTCTTTGTGAAAGGATATTTTGTTTTTGATACTAATTAATTTCTTTTTGATATTAGTATATTAGGATATAGACAATTTTCTGTTTGGTATCTATTTATTTTCTTTTTGATCGCCCGGCCAGCAAGGAGTTGGGTTCCTATAAGTATGAAGCAGTCACTCCACACGGTTTGGGGCACGTTTCGAGGCGCGAGTCGCGTTTGTTTTTCTTCTATGGAGACTTCGTCTCCACATTTTGGAGGCTGGGAGGTGAAGAGATGTGGACCAAAAGGGAGGCTTCATTCCAACAGTTTGGCTCAAAAGGGTTTGCCCCTAGCTAGCCGAGTCTGCAAGCTGGTAAGATCTGACTTCTGAGAAACCAGCAAGCTGAGGAAGGGTGAAGCTCCAGCTGAAGTGCTGATGAGATATTTGATCGGACGAGTATTAGCCACCGACTTGTGCCGCTGGGACTTACGGGACCGGAGGGCAGGCCGTTGGGTCAGAAACCGCGACCGATCGTTAAACCGCGACCGGTCAATGGCTCCGGTCTAAGACATTCAAAGGTGCAGATGCTTCTTAAAGTTCATTTGAATGTGGTGGTCAAAGAGCTTCTCAAACAGACGGAGGGAACATTTGCACCATGCGGGATGCGTTGGACCAGAGGGAACATCCTGGAACCACGTAGCCTCGTTTGTATTGCGACAGGACGAGCGGGCAGGATGTGAAAGTGAGTTAGTTACTAGTAGCTTCTAGCTACTAGTAGCAAGTGCATGGCTACTACACTGCAAGTAACGAATGCATTTCTACTAGTAGCTATATAGCTACTAGTAGCTTCTAGCTACTAGTATAGTAATGCCCTTGTTCCTAGTAGTAATGCCATTGTTACTAGTAGCGACGCTACTAGTAGTGAACTCATATCACCAGTGGTGTGAGTTGACTCTCACCACATAAGAGAACTGTGAGTCAAAACCTCACCCTAGACAAACCATGGCAGGTTGATGAAGGTTCACATCCCAATAGAGGAATTGGTCCATGTTCAAATGTCAACCAGAAACACAGGGTTTTGACCCACCGCCGTATCCCCAGCCTGAATCATTTGTGGACAATCTTCGCCTGATCCGCTTGTGATCGCTTGTGATTGGAGTTTCATCCACCAGTCAGGGAGTTTGTCCTACAAGAGCCCTTCAGATTTCAGTTCTCTGGATAGGTTGAAGATCTTCGGAAGCCCAAGATTCTGGAGTTGACAGTTCCAGAACAGCCCAAAACTGATCGAACATCAACATGTCACCATGTCGACCACCAGACTCCTGCCGCGATGTGGACGTCAGCACCATTCGGTCCGTCCGAGTGAGGCTGGCAGTTGTTTGCTTTAAAGCTCATGCTGACCTTGTGCGATACCTTGGGCGCGCGCCCTTGGCCAGGGCTTCTCAATTGTGTCACTTGGCAGACGTGACGACCTCCAGGACATGTGTGTTGTTGTTGTTGTTGCTGCTGTTGTTGCTGCTGGTGTTATGTTGTTGTGGTTGCTGCTGGTGTTGTTGTTGCTGCTGCTGTTCTTCTGTATGTTATTCTCATGTGCGCGTCCACCGTCCTTGTGAAATTCATGATTCCGCCCTGGGGCACTTTGGGTGGAGACGAGTTGTCACCTTCTTTAGACATTGGGGTTAAACCTGCAAAAACTCAGAACTTCAGCATAGATTGCTAGTCAATTCGTAAACATTGGTATGATGTTGTCGATTCGTGTTGTCATAGGCTACAGAGGTGTTGGCACATTAATATGTTTGTCTACTGATTGAGGCCATGTCGAACGCAGAACAGGTATGCTGTATGCTGTAACATGCAAACATCGTGCATTTGTTGGTCGCCAAACAGAAGGCAGACAACCCCTGCTGCCTGCGCCATGCTGCCCCCAGCGACATGGCCTCCTTGGGCCACAACATGCCACGAGGAAGTTTGTTGGGACCATGACCTCCCTTGGGATCCGTGTGAGTGGCACTGATGAATAACGTGTAGCACTGATGAATGCGTCCCCAAGTACCTTGCCAGATTGTTCAAGATGTGGCATGGTATACCATGTACTTGCAACTAACAATTGGCCTTGGCAAGAGACCCATTTCTAATTTGAGGTGAAGTCGCTGCTGATTTTTATGGTGTTTTGTGCTTGCAGCATTGTTGGCGGGGCGATTGGCGAAGTCACTTGGACGAGAAGCCTTGTCGGCTGCATTATATGGCTTGGATGCAATGGGCTTCTAATTCTGGCGATGCTACTTTGCTAGCAAAGCTTGGCAGTTTTTAAATTCAGCTTTGGCACAATAGCTGTGCTAATTCTTCAGAATATCTCAGTTGGTCTAATCTCATCAGACTTTTGGAATCGTCTCCTCGCAGCTCAGGATTGGAATGAAGAAATGCGTCCACATGAAGCTGGAATGTTATATGAAGGAGGATGTGGAGCAGCCCATCGATGGCAGCCCGATCGGAAGTCCGATCGACTCACCTCGTCCCAGCAACGACCGATGAAGCAACGACGCCTGACACATCCGGAGATCCGGCCCCTCAAAGGGGGGGCGTGGTGCCGGAACGTGCCGGAACGTCGAATTTGTAGTCCGTCCGACTGGTTTTCCGTCGGAGAAAGAGAGTACAGATCAGAAAATCCTGAGAGACTCGATCAGAAAAGGGGAGAAATGGGGAGTCTTTTTTGAAAAAGTATTGGAAAGCTCTGAGAGACCACTGGTAGAATTCCTGACATATTTATGATATTCTGTGAAATCTGGACCCCAAAGCCCCAAAGGATGGTTCAGTGCCTCTTCGATGGTTGCTAGGCAGCTCAGTGCCTCTTCGATGTAGGTCCTAAAGTGCCAAGATGGGGATATAGGGGCACAGCAAGCGGGTATACCGTAACTGGGGTAGGTCAGCAGTTGCCAAAACCAGCCCAGTGGACAAATTATATGTTGTTCTTTTGGGGTGTCTAGATCCCTTTCTAAGGTTTGCCCCGCATCTTGTCAGTTGCGATGAACCAAAAAACATTTACAAACACAAAGAAACTACTCATTAAGTCTAAGTCCCATGAAGACCAAGTGGAGGCCTCTAAGTCTAAGTCTCCTCCTTTACCAACGGAGGACATCGGGCATGACCATGCAAAGTCAACGGGAGCCGGAGCGGTGAGCAAGACAGGTCAGACAAGTTCAGGGAATTCCAACACATCTTTGATGGAGCAGTTGTTGGATAGGTCCGTGCGGAGACGACAATCCAAGTGAACAAGGAAACACTTTGGAAGACCTACACGACACGACGTTTGACCTCAATTCATGGTTTGCGCGTGTCTTACCGGACATGGGCGAACACTGGCTGAACTGGTCGATTTGGCGACCAAGAGACCTTCAACGCTCCAGTTCAACAGCAGAGCATTTGCTACATGTTATAATGTAGACTCTGACTCTTAATTAATAAACCACCCCGTACGGTGAGTGGTATCCTGCACCACCTTTAACACTACAAACCCTCGTGCTTCCTAATTGACATTGCGGGGTTGAAACCATGCTCAACAACAAGAAGTTGAATGGAACAAATCCTGCACCACCTCAAGCATCCATCAGCACAACATTGATATGGGGGTGCGGAGTGAGGACTTGTTTCTTTCTTGGGGGACTACACAGTTGCTGGTGCTTCTTCTTTCTTTCATCCACAGAGCTGGGCTTGATTAATAGGGGGGGATGGGGGGGGTCCTTAATCCTGTGTGCGCATTAAACCTGTGTTTCACATCAGGTCACTTCACAGGAAGATGAGTCGAGGTCCCGTTTGACCACTCCCCTCACCGGTGGCTGGTCGCCCGTCGAGACCACTCAAGCCACGTCAGGCCTTCCGGCGAGTGAGTCAGGCCACAGACTTGGCGGTGAACAAAGCTGCTGAGACCATGACACACCTGGATCAGGTCTGGAACGAACGGATCGGGGCACGGGGGTGGCGCCGCCGGGGATGAAGCAAGGACTTGGGTGCAAAGCCTTCAATTAAAGGACCCATATGAGTCGTTTTTCATCAGAGGGCTTGGCATTGGCATTGAGTCGGCTCGTGACCTCGTGAGAATCAACCACGACCTGAGCTGCTGGCTTCGGGACGAGGACAAACGACTACCGCTCTCTACGTAGGAGTCTTGTTAAATCATCGACTGCAAACCGGTCAAATGCCCACGGTTTTTGGATGGCACATTGGGGGTCCGGTGACTCCGGTGGCCCATTGGATGTAGACCTAACAGCACGGAGCTTTTCGAACAGATGAGTACACGGTGGCCCAACGGTGCCCACCTTGGCCGTGCTTCTCGACCGGTTGGTCGGTGAAACCGGTCGATGTCTGTTTCACACACCGGTCGACGGTCAACGTGTTTTTTGGGGTGCCAAGTCTGAAAACGTGTACCTAGGTCGATGTAGTATGGAGGGTTGCTCTCATGTTCTCAGATGAGGCAGATCCATCACAGGTCCACCCTGAAGAGGGCCACAGTCACATGCGTGAGAAAAGAAGTAACCACACCCCTGTACTTGGTGAACATGTAATTATATAACTGAACTCACGGCTGGAACAAGACTTGCACGGTCGAAATCAGTCCAGTTTGCCTTCATCGGCCAAAAGGAATTCCAGATGTGCATAAGTGTCTACTTTTTGTACCAAAATATACAAAAATGACAAAGGACGTAAAGGGGCGACAACATTGCCAAGTGGCTTAGGCCAATCATTGACCCACTTCTGTTATGGCAACCTTAAATTTTCACTCGGGCCCCAATGGACGTTGGGTGATCTCACAACTGGCACTGCTTCCAGTCGAGCACTCCGACAACGAACAAGCCGATTTCCATCCGGTCAGGAGATCCAGTCTGGAATTGCTGTGACGGAGGACGCGATCGACGCGCGCGATGGAACGTGACTCGGCTCGTCCGGACACCACTGAGAATGAGGCCACTTCTCGCTGTTGCATCCTGAGAGTTATCCCATTTCTACTTCAATGGCCTTTCAACTTAGTTGCGGAAAGAGGAATGGGCAAGTGACTAGTGTATTTGGTAAAACCTGAACACCAACCAGATGCCAGGGTCCCATAGGAGACATGATCTTTAAATGTAGATAGACATAGATAGACTATGGGCAATCCAACAAATGACTACATTACTGACATCACTGCTTTGACATTTTACCACCGTTTTTTGGAGCATTGAGGATAATATGCTGGTCATTGCTGGTCTATTCTTCCACTGATCCTGGGATCCTTTGGTTTTGAAACACCAAACAACGAGGGGATCTGCCATCAGGACTGAAAGGATATACGGGCACCGCACCCTGGAACAGATGTAGTCTCGATGTTCACCGATGACACTTGCAGGGTTTGGTAGGTTCAAGCCATCTAATTGTATATATATAATCATCCTGACCCGCTCGAAACAAGACGCAAAGGCCCAAGGCCTGGACGTTGGAGATCTGTTTCTTTTCCACCAAGCAGAGTCAGCAGAGTGTGCATGGGCTCTTGATTCTTCACTGTTCACTGTTCGCAGGCTCCTGATGTCAGCACTAAGCGACAAGAGTATTTATTCTTGCATGGGCATTCTTGATGGCTTGCAGGCTTCCGGCTTCCAGTATGCCTTGTAATTTCTATGGGAATTATATAGTAGTACAGTGGTGTGAGGATAATCTTAGTGATAGAAGATGTAAGTGTCAAGTGTTAGGTGTCTTGAGCGGTTAGTGAGACTTCCGGATTCATCGCAAGTACTTTTTACAAAGACAGCTCAACTGACCAAGCGGAACTGACTGAGCACTGTTTAGGCCCAAGACATCCCAAGGCTATTTTAGTTGCTGTACGCAGTACTTGCAACCGTTTATTTTCCGCAGTGATCATGGAGGAAGCAAAAACATATTGCAATTTTATCTTTGGAGCCAAAGAAGGTAGTATCTGGTATGAGGATTGGAAGCTTTGGACTGGACTTCTGGGATATGGATTAGTCTGGGGCAAGTGGCTGCTGAAAGGTCTTGATTGGTCATTTGAAAGCAAGACTTTGCTCCTTGGCCAAAAAAAACACACCGTGCCTTCCCACCCACACATTCAGACGGAACGCGAGAAACGCCTTTGTTCACCGCATACCGGCGTTGGATGGAACACCAAGCGTTTTGGCAGGCACACCACCGTGACGAGAAAGCGTTGGACGTGTGGAACACGACGGACGTGATGGACGGATGTTCTTCCCAAAACAGCTTTCCCTTCTTGGGTGTTTGTTTCAATACCCAGACACTCAATGTATGTCATATATGCCTACATTGACCCCCAAAACCACCCCAATTGATCGGCATATATGGCATACATGGAGTGTATGGGATATGTATCTGACTGTTTCCTTTCGAATTTGACATACTGTGGCCCCTCCGTGTGTGTGTGTGTGTTTTCTGTGTTTCTTGTGTATCACTTTTGTTAGTGACCAGGACGTCCAATGTCCAATTTCCTGGTTTTCCAAACAGGAAAGACGGATTCATTCATGTTAGCAGTCCTCAGTCCTTTGATGTTAAGCCAATCTGTGTTGTCTTACAAACTGCTAAAGACTTCATGTATCTGTCTCACCAACTCGGAAAACGAGTTAGGCAGTGCTTTAGCTTGGATCTCATTTTTCTTCATCTGCTACAGTACACGCGGTTTGGGATTCTGATGATCTTTGGAATCCTTCTGATTCAAACCTTGGTGTTGACCTATGCGGCCTTTGTGCCACTGGATTTGCTGAAGAAGGGCCACTTCACTGCCTATTCCACCTATACGAGAATCTCTGGCTCCTTGTTGCAAACTTGCTGGATATTTCTGGGTCAGCTGCTGTTCGGATGGTTTTACCTTTACTCCTTGTACAGCAGCTACGATGAAGTGGCCAATGCCGAATATCTATTCTGGTCGCAGCCTCAGCCCGCCCGCTCCGGGCGTTCGAACGATCCTGGAGTAGCACCTTCAATATGTTTGGGGATGAGCGGTCATGACAGTGACAAACCATTGGAAAGAAGACTCATCTCAATCTCCGAAGAAGGAAGCACCTTTGCTTGATCCGTTTTGTTCTTCAAATCCATAATGTTTAGACGGAGCATCTCATCACGGCTTTTTGCTCGCCTGGCGGCCTTTTCCGTGGACCAAACCCATGCCTCCGCACGAAACCGTCCGTTCGCAGCTCAGGTTCGCAGGCTTCATCTCGGTGCAAATGACGATGTTCTTCGCGCGCGGCGCAGACAGTCACCTGGGACATGGATGGAATGTGAGTCAAGCGATCTATGCGATTTGGTTTGCACGAGTCGACCAAAGTCAGTGGAATTTTGGGAGACTTCTTCAACCAGCTTCCCTTTTTGGGAAGTGGGTAGTAGGTAAAAAAATGCTTCCCTTCAGAACACAGGGATTTGGAACTGTCAGACGTTGTTCTTACAATAGTAGCACGCCTTACAATAGCCCCTGATAGGAGTGAAAATTGACGAAGATCGAAAGGTGATATATATATATGTAAAGTATGATACAGTAGACTTTTTCAATGAAGGGAACTACGGATCGCCTGTCCCGGACGTCTGCTTTAACCAATGCGATCGCCAGACCATTCTCAGGTCTTTTACCATGTGGAAGACCTTTCCTTCAAGAAAGGCATGGATGACACGTCGGAATCCTTCGTCATCACGCGCGCACATTGGTTCCTGCGGAGTCTCTTTGGATTCACCATCAACCTCTTGCTGAGAGAGTGTCCAGCCACACGAGGTTTGGGAAAGGCTTTTTTGGTTGCCCCGCTCCCCCCGTCAGTAGGCGCCTACTTAATTAGGTAAGGGAGAGGTAGCTAACACCTACAAGTAAGCTACTACTTAGGACGCAGGATAGCTCAGGCTTCTTCCAGGAAGCGCTCGCACTAATGATTTGGTTCCTAGATGTTTAGGGAAACTCAACATAAGGGAAACTGAGGGGATATCGGATATCGAGGAGAAAGTGATTGGTGTCAGATGGTGTATGTTTTCTATGGTGGACACTTGGGTCATTCAAGTGTTAGATCTTGACACTTACCAATATAATTTGACTTTTCTCTTGCAAGAATATGTTTCATACCCATCAGATCCACCAGTCGTCAATCCATCCTGCCATCAAAGCCAACTCAGGTTCATTGGCTACTCAGTGCCGATTCTTTTGATGCTCAGAGTTCAGAGTCACCTTTTTGCAGTTTGTGTCCTGGTTTTGGTTCCAGAAACCACGAGTGTCCCTCCCAAATGAAGAGCTGCTAGAGCATGCTTGAAGTGTTTCTTTGCCCTAATCCTCTTCAGTTTCTATGTGTCAGAAGGTCATCATCATGTCGTGCAGCATCCAAGCCTCAGCTTCTATGTTTAAGAGAGGCTCATCATATTGCCCAACATCCAATTCTCATGGGTCAGGATGCATTTTCACAACCCCATCGACTGCGTGATCTACAGCGTGGCTGTGAACTTCATCGTGACCATGGATGATATCAGCGACACCGTTTACAAGGCCGCTCGGGATCCACGCCGAACTGGTGACGCCTAACCGGGACGTAGCTGGGAGGACGCCGCTTCGCGGGTTGAAAACGACACGCGGGTATAGTGAAGGTGTTTTTGTGGGGACACACGGGAGGAACTCTCTCACCTACAGGGGTGGTGACTGGAGACTACTTTTCAAGGTGTACAGTATGTTCATTCATTCCTGTTATAGTACATACATATAATATAGATTATTTTATGTGATTCCTTCGGAACCACAAAGGTAGCACCTACGACAACCTATTCAACCTAAAGGGCTCCTACCCAAGTCCCTACCAAAAGCGTCCACGCT